TTTTGATGCCTACGTGACTTTGTACATGATCTCTCAAGGATCCAGAAGCTTCTAGAAGGACTTCTTAATTAAAAAACTATTGGAACATTGATTCAACATCCGGTAGGATTAAAAATCGAATCCTTAATAAGATTCAGTGGTACTTTCAAATACTACTTATAATCTTTAAATCTTATATCTAATTATATTATAATCACATCTTATTTCAATAATAAGTCTAGACTGTAAAAATAATCAATCAATATTCATTGAAGGCTACCGTGCTCAGAGAGCATGGCAGGGCGATGGGGGGCGAGAAGCGCCCACGACGATGCCTCGCGGCACTCCGCGTTTGTTTACAAATGAGTGAACAAGTGACTGATCCTTAGCGAACATTACCAGCTCAAGGACACCTTATCTAACATTTTTATCGCCAGTGAATACTCTCTAGAACTGGGGAGTACCTGGACAATATCTACAAGGAAAATCCGTGAACATTCACATAAAATAGAGTGTATAGTGGAGATCAGTGACACGGTTTCCTCCACCTTCATTCATAAACTTTTATCTCGAATCATTCTTCTGCAACTGCAGGATAATCACGTAGCAACGCTACCAGATCATCATACAGCAACGCTGTAGCAAAATATCGTGCCTAAACTCAACAAGAGAGAGTTAATCAGTCTGGCAAACTTGTCAGACAGGCACCCCGACTGGCAGAGAAGTATATTGAAGGTTATTTGGTATATGATTGGCCAATTGTATGCTTGTGTAGCTTTAATATCCTATAAATCTGTCTGTTGGTTAAAAAGCGAGGCTAAGCCTCACATATCGGTACGTTTATTAAAATTGTAGTGTAGCTGTGAATCTTATCCAAGCACTGAACCTCATGAGTGTCCATTCTGTCAGAAAAGAATTCAGCCTCAATAAGTAAAAACCTCATAAGTGTCCATATTGTTGGAAAAGATTCAGTCAAGCTAACTGTATCATATAAATTGAATATGTCTGCATATATATTTGAATATATAAATTAAGTTATCAATTGCTTGCTTAGTTAATTTTTAAGTTATCATATAAGTTCATTTAATTGAATATAATTTCTAGTACTAAGTTAATAGTATTAAGACTCCATTTAAGGTCATTTATTTATACTTTACAATTAATTTGTTGTTTATAGTATAAGTACATATTGGCTGTTAAGTTATGGTACTAGGTTAGACTATGTATGTTTAAATCTCTGATTTAAACAGAGCCAGTGTTCAGTCAGATAACTGAATTTATCAAATCTTATCCTTGTATAAAATACAAGCTGATGTGAGATCCCTGTCTACAGGTGGACTGGAACTTCTATCAACAAGTCATTCACCCCACCTGTCCCTTACAGCCCACAATCTGTCATTAGGAAAAGAGGATCTAGGATTTACAACCCTAGCTAGAGATTTTAATTGAATTAATTTGCAGACAGTAATTTTTAATTTAGTTCAGTACAAGTCCCTGGTAGTCTCCTCTTATATCAATCCCAGCAGGTTTTTCCCACAGGAAGGTTGCTTGTTTGGTTTCTTTCAAAGAGAGTTATTTTGATCTTTTGGGAAGTAGATTGCACAGGTTAACTAGACAGTGGTCAGTTTTGATCACCTACCTTCCTGGGTTCTTCCCCGGATGATGGCAATTATGACATAGTTTAAATATAAAGTGCTAATAGGCCATTGCTCCCTGAATCTCTATGAGGGGGACCAGGGTCTGGCTCATGGTTCCCGGTAGGCATAAGAACTCCTGTGACTGATGACCCCAAACTAATATAGCACAAATCAGTTCGGATAGCTTCAGGGAGCCGACGGGGCTCCCCACAGAAATACGTTGTGTATGAACAGTACTATATAGAACTAGATAAAATATTTGGCCCTACTCTTGAAATGAGTATATTACAGTCTTTCCTGCCCTAGTTTCTATACTACTGTCATCTTCCACTTATATTTCAATCCTAAAATACATCGAGATAGCCCATAAGAAAAGTAAAAATAATGTCATTCAAGAAGAGAAAGAACTACACTGAGCTGCGGTCCGTCTAATTACCACAAGCTACACAAGCTTCACAAAGCTTCCTGGCAATACGTTAGTAATGAATAAATATGATATATTTACTCATTATAATGTTGGTGCTGAATGTACAACACGAAAACACAATTTTAATCTGAAAAAGTATCTTTTTATAAGGAAATTAGACAAAAATAAAGAGCTGGTGACGCCAAATCAAGTCGACGATCCAAGCGTCGGTTAGGTTAGGTTTGGTTTAAGTTAGGTTAGGTTAGGTTAGGTTTGGTTTAAGTTAGGTTAGGTTAGGTTTGGTTTAAGTTAGGTTAGGTTAGGTTAGGTTTGGTTAGGTTTGGTTTAAGTTAGGTTAGGTTAGGTCAGCCTAACCTATCATATTTATTCATTACTAACGTATTGCCAGGAAGCTTTGTGTAGCTTGTGGTAGCTTGCAGTAATTAGACGGACCCCTGAGCTGCCCTATGCTTAACTTTCCCAAAAACCAACAAACTCTGTTAACCATGATGCAAAGATGCAAATCCTCAGCAGTTTAAAGACCAACTTATGAAAATAGAATAATGTTTAGAAAACCTCACAATCCCTGCACCAAGCATATCTTGCTTGATTTTAATTTATGGCACCTAAATTGTAATAATGTGGTAAATACAGTTACGACAGAAATAATCTCGGGAAACGGATCTAAATGAAAGTGCCCACGAGTTAAGTGTGTGGGGTTGATTTGCGGAATTAACTTTGTCGTCCTACGCTAAGCACGTTCTAGTGAATTTGTGACCATTCTGTAGTATGGCGACCAGAATTGAACTGCATAATCTAAGCAGGACTAACAAGATATAGCTGGAGAAGGTATCACGACACAGAGAGAAACATTAGGTGTTTTATTGCTAATGCTTCTACTGTATTTGCCTCATTCTGAACATTTATGCACTGACTGAATGAGTTTGGGTGGATATAAATAAGAACTCAAAAAAAAAAAAAAAAAAAAAAAAACGGCCTCATATGGGCTAGTAAGCCCATATGAGGCAACTAAGTTCCTTAGTTTTTAAGTTCCTACTGATATATTCATTTATTAATACATACAAACACACACTCATTTTGTGATACATTTATTCATTGATTCAGTCACTGTAGACCTAAGTATATTATCCTTATAGTTAGTAATGTATTTACACCATGTTTTAGTAAATTACATATATATAAATCTAGTTATTCAACACAAATACTATGGTGTATGAACTAAACTATGTAAAAGCCATCATATTAACATCCAAGGCCAACACTAGAGTCCTTGGCCACAAACTACTACGTGTGCAATAAGTGAGGTCTGGCGGTGACTGATCTGACAAGCCACCACCCGCTAATCTCGTAAAGCTCGCCTAACCAGTACAAAGATCAATATTTATCTTATTTTTACCATTTATTACATTTGCATTCAAATGACTATTTCGATAAAGAAAACACATTGTTTTGGATTGATTGATGTTGGCTCATAGGTGGATATACGTGTAAATCTTCAGCCACACATTAGAGGTTAATAGGTCTTCTGTCCCCATTTTTATGAACTGGAACAATATCTGCTTTTTTTCCCTATGTCTGAGGCTTCGGGTGCGCACAAATTTTTGGGAAATAATTTGCAAAGAGTTGCTAAAGATGTGAGCACATTCTCTCAGTATCCAAGGTGTCTGTTTCTACCTATATCATCTCTAAGATGCATTTAGGTGCTCTAGGTTATGCTTCAAAGTCCTCTTGTATCTGGTTCTATTAATATATGTATAATATGAACATATTCTGAAACTGTTATTGTAATTTTGCATAAATCCTTTTCAGTCTCCATAAATCTGTTCCACATTTGTAATCTTTGGAACTTGTATCTTACATGGAGTTTACTTTTAAAAAAATTCATAGAATAGGATGGGTTTCATTTTGCATTTGCCTACTATCCATTTTTCAAAGTTTTTTCCTCCTCCTTTTTACTGCAGTCGACCAGGTTTGGGTTTGTTTGTACTGTATTTCTCATACATTTCTTTGTGTGTGTGTGTAATTTCTTTTACCCAAGTGTAATTACCTAAGTGTAGTTACAGGATGAGAGCTACGCTCGTGGTGTCCTGTCTTCCCAGCACTCTTTGTCATAACGCTTTGAAACTACTGACGGTCTTGGCCTCCACTACCACCTTACCTAACTTGTTCCAATCGACTACCACTCTATTTGCGAAAGTGAATTTTCATATATTTCTTCGGCATCTGTGTTTAGCTAGTTTGTTAGCTAGTGTGTGTGTGTGTGTGTGTGTGTGTGTGTGTGTGTGTGTGTGTAAACCAAAAATTCTCTAAAAAAAATACAGCATATTTTGCCGTTTACTTGTACAGTACATGTATTCACGCAACATGCAAATATCTTAAGTATTAGTACCATGTTTGCAGTAAGATTCATCACTGATGCATACTATAGAGGGGGTAAGGCTGCCTTTCTTACTAAACACTACACTGTATTTACTATTTCATATCTGACAATATTACTTAAAAAAATATATGCCTTAATTCATAGTTTAGCCAGTGTCACATTACAAGAGTTTTTTCCACTTTATCAAAGAAGGTGCAAATCATTTCAAAGCTCTCCTTGCAAATCAAGGAGAGTTCTGGTAAATCCAGAATTGTTACACTATTAACTACCGTACTTAGCACTCTTGTACAGCACTTAAGTACTGTAGTTCGGTGCTGAGCACTGTCGCACAAGATTTACGCATTCATTTCTCATCTCTTAACGAGTACAGCACATTATATTAATATGCACCCTTTAGAGCATATAAAGTACTGTACCATAATTTACTATTCATTGTTTTATCAATATTAAACACTTTTCATTACAGTTTAAGCTAAATAATTTCTTTACGTGATAAGCAGAAATTTACATTAATTAAGTAATTCAAATACTAATTACTAAGCTAGAAAAAAACATAATTTGTGTTCAGGATACTTACTCTTTTGACTTTATGTTCAGGTCCATTTGAGTCGTTGGAGTCTGAGGCAGGCTGGCCTGCATGAAAGGCAAAGTTGTGAATACTCGGCTGTGGAAGTAACACAAGGGCCAACGTTAGCTTATTCCACTCATGCCAGGCAAGTGGACTGCAGCGGGATAACTTTTTTATACGTTGGTAGTCGTCTAAATCACAACTTGACTACTGTGGCATCTCGCACACTACATTCAAACAAGAGCTGAGTAAGTCATGTTTAAGCCAGAAAAGCTTGCCCAGTCCTCAAACCACATCCAGCACTAAACAAAATAAAAAACAATGGATGATGGACTTATTCCACACAGACAATGATGCACACTCAGCAAAGCTGTTCCAACTTGCTTCCAGACAAACACACCAAGTTATAAACACACAACATATACCCCAACAGCCCCAATGGACATGACAATATGCAGCTCAACACATTTCAGTCATAGTCCACGTAATCATTTCTGTTAAACCTGTAACACTGTTAGTGTTTCTAATTACAAATTTTATTTCATGAAGGATTTTGAATCTATTATAGAGAGGCCACCATTTAAAATATAAAATTGACTATGTGTATTCAATATAGTTATCAGTGAGGAAACAATGGAAATCTTCCATGAATGACTTAATGATCAAGTGACCTCTGAGACATTACAGAATTGATCAGTTATGAATAACACAGTAGCAGCTTACTTTATCTTTTGCATATCAGCAATGGAGCTCGAATATCATATATTTTACAAAACTTCATAGATTTATTTTTCTAAACATGAAACTCCAATAAAATAATAAACTACGTACAATGTAAGCTGATTTAAATATCAAATTTGGGACTTTTTTTTGGACTGTTGGCTTATATGTTTGGAATGAATGTATGAAGTGAGACCGAGTAGATCAGTAGTGAAATAGCAAAGCACCCAGCACCTCATGATGAGAACTATCCACCTCTTGCTACAGCATGCCAGGATGCTATACCAAGCCTGTGGGGCAAGCTTAAACCAACACCAACAAGGAAAGAGAGAGAGAGATTTCATACAAACAAGACAAAAATATTCAGGTTTAACTAATGTTGGCCCTTTAACATGTAAAGAGTATTTATCATTGTATTACAGTGACTGTTGAATGTACCCAGTGGTAACATTTGAGGAATATATAATGGATGTACAGTACAATATTCTATTCCTTTATGGCATCCTGAATTTTCAATCATACAGATTTTCTTATATAGTACCAATCATAATTGATTAATCTTAACATGCAATCAGCTTAGAAACAGATGCTGGGAATCGAATCTTTTGTAGTACAGTAATACAACAGCATCATAAAATTATTCTATTTTATAAATAAATGTTGTGAGTATTCTAGTTCTCTTAACATTGTTATTTTTTCACTTAACAGTAACCAAAAAAAAAAAAAAAGTAATCAAACTGATCAGATGGATTTATTAGTTTTTAGGCTAACCATTTTTTTATTTGTCATCTAGATTCTCGTCAATGCTGCTAAGAGGCATATAGAATAAAAGTAATAAACTACAGTATATTGAATTGTGTTAATACCTCTGATCTCAACAGTTTTGGTTATCACTAAAAATTATAATGAAAAATAAACTATGAATATCATTTCAAAAGAATGTCTTAAAACTACTTAATCTTTAAACATTGAAGAAATGGCATGACTGAAATTTCCTCTACCCACCTTCCAACAAGAGTTAACAACTTTCATATTAATAGATAAATTCATATACCATCGTTAATTATACATCTTCATAATCAAAACGTAAATCTAATAATTCTAGCTGTTAATCCAAATCCATCATCAAATAATTATCACGAGCAATCCAAGAGCCATGATGAAATAATTATTAGGAGCAATCCAAGAGCCATGATGAAATAATTATTAGGAGCAATCCAAGAGCCATGATGAAATAATTATCATGGTCAATCCAAGAGCCATGATGAAATAATTATCATGGTCAATCCAAGAGCCATGATGAAATAATTATCATGGTCAATCCAAGAGCCATGATGAAATAATTATTAGGAGCAATCCAAGAGCCATGATGAAATAATTATTAGGAGCAATCCAAGAGCCATGATGAAATAATTATTAGGAGCAATCCAAGAGCCATGATGAAATAATTATTAGGAGCAATCCAAGAGCCATGATGAAATAATTATTAGGAGCAATCCAAGAGCCATGATGAAATAATTATCATGGTCAATCCAAGAACCATGATGAAATAATCATCATAGTCAATCCCAGAACCATGATCAAATAATTATCATGGTAAAACCATGAGCCATGATCAAATAATTATCATGGGAAGTTCAAGGACCGTCGTCAAATGATTATCACGAAAAGTCGAAAAGCCATCACTGAATAATCCCCCCATAGTCTGACCAAAGCCAAAGCTCAACTTGATGATTACAGATCTGTACTGACCATCATCATTGCTAATTTTTCCAAACATCTTCAATTCTCTGGACCAGTAACTAAGTTTATAGCACTTGGCTAAATTTAGTAATCAATAAATCAAGTGAACATGGGTTATCAAATGAGACCTTACAATTGAGTTTTTGTCAGCTCAAAAGAGCTTAACTACAGTTTCTTAACATTATCAGAGTAAAACTTTATTGAGACTGAAAAATGTATTAGTGAGATGGTCATGCAAATTTATCTTGTCTTTAGAGCACTTGCATTCAAAATGTCACATGCTTCATTTTGAGTCCCTAACCATTCACTGCAGCAAATGTGTAACAAATGTGCAACATCCTCACAAACTATCAAGGATTATACAACAAAATTTACACCTCAACTTATAGTTGCCAAAATTCCCCCCACAGAAAAATAAAATACATGAAATAAAGAACAATGTATGATCTCGTGCACTGCAACAAATCTTAGATATCTGAGAACATCCGAGATATTGGCAAAAAGATAAGAAAACTAAAGCCATACTCGTAATTAAGACCTGCAGCCAGAGTTATAATTCTCCCAAATGATACAGCAGCTCCTAGTTTTTAAAGTATGCATGTAATAAGTATAAAGCAATAAGGACTAAATATTTAAAAAGACATCTCGGCCAGAAACACCGATACCCTACATACAACAACACGTCCCAAATGTATCTATATGATGGCAACATAATTCTAAACCAGTACAACATATTATATATCCTAAATCATGTGCAAAAAATTTAAAGCATAAACCCATAACAAATTAACCATCAATACACATTTCTGTCTGCAGACAGCAACACACTTCAGTGTACCAACCATATGATGCTAACAATGAGACTATCTGCAATGTGTAACAGAAGTAAACCAATTTTACTGCTGGAATATTGACCAATTGCAATAATTTTCAAAGAAAGTATTTATACATTTCCAGACGAGGAGTCACAGCAACGTGGCTGAAATATGTTGACCAAACCACACACTAGAAAGTGAAGAGACGACGACATTTCGGTCCGTCCTGGACCATTCTCAAGTCGATTGTGATGAGGGAAGGAGGCGGACGCGATGGCAATAAATAGGCAAGAGAGAGATGAGAAGAAAATCTTAAGAAGAAAAAGCAAGGCAAAAGGTACGAAAGGTAAGGTGTAATAAAGGGGATAGTAATAGGAATAAGAACATAACAACAAAGGTAACTGCAGAAGGTCTATTGGCCCATACGAGGCAGCTCCTATTTATAGCCACCCAATAAGAAGGGGGACATACTGTACTTGTACATTCACAACCTTTTCTAAGATCTCGCTATGCATTTAATCTACATTTTGTAAATTCCTCAATATTTTGCAGTTATAACTCTTCTACACACATTCCCTGGTATGCTTAACAGACTGATTCATTTATAATTTATACATTCAATCATGTTGCTGCTCTTCAAATTTATTCTTCAAATTTGAAACTATTTATTCCTAAGTTGCTTAAGAAACCATTCAAACAGCAGCAACTAGACCTAAAGCCATAATGGCAGAAACTTGGCTTGTGAAAAACTGAGTACAAAAATTCAACTAAGAACTACTTAGCACTTTACCATGGTGAGCAATCCTGAAGTCAAGCTGGAATCTCCTTTAGTTTGTCATCGGTTAGTTTCTAGAGTAAAACCAGGCCACTACAGACTTGTTATAAAAATTTAGCGTGAAAACCTAACCAGTTCACAAATATGCAGCCAAATTAAGAGAAATATACCACCCTATCTCACTCTGTTTTGTGTGGCCACTGGAGATCCAGGAATAGTGTGTTAATTCTTAAATACACAAGTATACAGTAAAGGTATTTGCAAAAGGCACATTGGCCCATACTGTCTAGCTTTCTATACTAAGGGAGAACAGCTATACACTTAATGAGAAATTTGCAAAAACAAATACTAACTAATGAAAATTATAACCAAACTTGTAAAATAGTTAACTCGTTGTTGATATTTCTAGACACAACAATACTTCTCCCATCGTTGTACAATATTAGGTCCCCTGTACAACTACCAGGAGGTTCCTCAGCCCAGAACCATTAGTGCCAATTACTATTCACATAAATAAGCATTTCAAGATTTGAGAAAAATCAACTTACAAAATGCTATCATCTTGCCATGGGATGTCTGAAGACAATGAGTTATATGGCATCCCTCTGAGAGGAATACCTAGTGATTGTCAAATCATGCAGAGAAAAATATAACTAATAGCAATACAACCTCCTGGTAGACTCACGTCAATCAGTGTAGGTCTAGTTCATAGGACCTATTCACCTTTGGGTCACTCGAGATAAATTTGATGTTGGACAACTTGGTCTGTCAAGGTACTGTGGTAGATACTACCTGGCTTAAAGTGTTACCCATTCATCTTCCCACCGAAAGAAAGGATGAAGTGAAGGGAGAGATTTGCCACCTGCCTTGGCTGAGATACGAAAACAACAGTTAGCATTTTTAACTGTTACTCCTCTCTTCTATTAGACGACTTGATAATGGTCAAGGATGGACCGAAACATTGTTTCTCCATTTTCTGGCGTGTGTGGTTTAGTCAAAGTTAATCGTTATA